TTAATTGTCGCCTTCGCACCAGCAGCACAAGTAACATCACGAACAGTGACAACTAACATCACAGACAATGTCTATACATAAATATGAAACAAAAACATATAATATAGAATAAAGCACATAATTAAACCATATTAAACCAAACTTACATATCAGTAACATTGGAACACCATTCGGTTTCAAGCAGCAAAACTTTTTCGTCCGCGAACAGGAGTTGAACCCGCAGCGTACGAATTACCGTTTCGGTACTCTACCTCTGAGCTATCGCCGAGACCGTTTAGCGTCCGTTGAGTGCTTATACTGAGGTTACAGTCAGTTCTTTAGTGCACATGATGCAAAACTGGCTCAGAGGTAAAGCGCCCAACTGGTAATTGCTAGGTCGCTGGTTCGATTCCCGTCCACGGAGAAAAGTTTTGCACGAAACTGAGTGGTGTACTAATGTGATTGATGTTGCAGAGCCTAAGCCAGGCTGTGATTTGGCTTCTTTCACTTATCTGCTTATATCACCTAGGCTTGGTGTCTCTTGTGACGGCTTCGATGTCATCAGTATGACAACATAATACTTATTTATTAAATCTTATTAATGTCAATAGAAATGCTGAATAAAATCAAGTTTCAAGGAAATTAAAACACAAAATGCAAAATGAAACGGATATGAAAGCTAACCTTGTGGTAATTCGGATATTAAAAATATCATCAGCGTGGTGACGAGTACTTTTGTGGTTCGATCTGATAGGTGGATGGTGGATTTTGTGCTGTTATTGGCATTTGTATTGCTGTTATAATCTTCATTGATGAACTTCAGCAGTTGACGGTTACTACGTGATTCATCTAATTTCTTCAATAAGGCGACTGTGAATGTGAATAAGAGTATGCAAGGTATAACCTAAAATGTGGTACTTCTCTTATCAACGATGATAAGAAATATACAAAGTATAACCTAAAATGTGGTACTTCTCTTATCAGTCTCTTATCAGTGATAAGAAATATGCAAGCTGGACTCTGAAATTCGGCACGTCTCTTATCAGTAAAGAATA